CGCAAGGGAGGAGCGGCACTCCAAGTGGAAGCATGGAAAGCTTAGAGGAAGCGAACTGCACATCGGAGCAGCAGACGGGCTAGTAGGTGGCACCGGCTTCATCGTGAATGCGAAGCTCGCTTCAAGAATCCACTCCGTCGACGTCAACTCATCGCGCGTCGGAATACTGAGGATCAAGCTCAGACGGCGGCAGCTACTGACAGTCGTCCAGTGCTATGCGCCACACAGCGGCTACGACGACCAGGCAGTCGAGGCGTTCTACGCCGAAGTCGAGCAACATCTCGCAGCTGTGCGGGGACCAGTAGTTGTAATGGGAGACTTCAACGCCAGAGTCGGCCCAAACGAACCGGACGAGCTGTACATCGGACGGCACAGTGCTGAACGCCGTAACGACGCAGGCACTCGCCTGGCCGCTTTCGCCGAAGCACAGAAGCTGTACGTCGCAAACTCTCTGTTCGAGAAACCACTCTCCAAACGGTGGACGTGGCAGTCGTCGGACCTGGTGACTAAGAGCGAGCTCGACTACGTGCTGTACGGCGACCGGAGGAGCATCGAGAACTTGGAGGTGCTCAGCCAGTTCCATGCCAGAAGCGACCACAGGCTAGTGCGAGCAACCATACGGGTCGACATGAGGAAAATACGAAAAGAAGCGTTCTTCAAAAGACCACGCCGTCCAGCTGAACTGGACAAGGCCAAATTTCAACGGCTGGTGAACGAAGCCGACTGGAGCGGGCAAGGCGGCGGAAGAACGATGGAGCAGTACGAGAGCCTTCAAGAGACGCTGACGACGTGTGCGAAGAACGCCGGCACCAGGAAGGAGAGTACACGCAAATTGTGGAAAACTCCTGAAACAACCGAGCTCCTGAAGCAACTGCAGCAAGCAAAGGCCCGCGAAGATTCAGAAGAAGCCAAGCGCTTGTCGAAGCTCTGCCGGACGAAGGTCGCCGAAGACTACGAAAATTACCGCAACAGTCGTCTGCTCCAAACGGCCGAAAAGCGGAAGAGTCTCAAGAAATGCAGACGGGACATGACGCAGTCACAGCTCATCACCGGCGCATTAGTGGATGAAAACGGCCAACTTCAGACCGAACGCGATGCCGTCGAGGAGATCTGCCGAAACTTCTACACGAAGCTCTTCGAGAGCAAAGTCGTAGTACCAAGACAGCGAAGAGCAGAGCCCAGGACAGAACCAGAAGTGCCTCCAATAACGGCCGACGAAGTGGAAGCTGCGCTCGTTACGATGAAAAACGGCAAAGCACCTGGCCCAGACGGAGTGAGAGCAGAAATGCTGAAAGCAGGCGGACCAACACTGTGGAAGCAGCTAGCACGGATGTTCACCAGATGCGTTCGGAAGAAGAAAATCCCGCCACAGTGGAAGGAGTCTACGACAGTGCTCCTGTACAAGAAGGGCGACGCGAAGAACCTGAAGAACTATAGGCCGATTTGCCTCCTATCCGTCGTGTACAAGCTCTTCACGAAGGTGCTGACCAGACGAATAACGGAAGACCTGGACCGCGCCCAACCGGTGGAACAGGCGGGATTTCGGCAAGGATACTGCACCCTCGACCACCTGCAGACCGTGAACCAGATCCAAGAGAAGGCTCGAGAGAAAGGCTTACGGCAGTACCTGGTCTTTGTAGACTATGAAAAGGCATTCGATACGGTCGAGACGAACGCAGTGCTAAACGCACTAGAAGCGCAAGGAGTCCACCGACTCTACATAGACGTCCTGGAAGACATCTACGAAGACGGCGAGACCTTGATAACGCTCTTCGACAAGCCGATAAGGATCCCAATACGCCGCGGAGTGCGCCAAGGCGACACGATCAGCCCAAAGCTATTCACAGCAGCGCTAGAGATGATCTTCAGAGAACTGAGATGGGACGAGAGAAGAAACGCTGGCATCACCATCGACGGCAGGCACCTCACTCACCTCCGCTTCGCTGACGACATCGTGCTCATCGGGAATAGCCGTGCTGATGTGCAGCGAAGACTCGAAGAGCTAAACGAGAAGAGCGGAGCGGTCGGCCTTCGGATAAACAAGGACAAGACGGAGTGGTTCGAGTACTTCGAAACCAGCGAGAAAATCTACCTAGAAGGCGAAGAAATCCGAAGAGCAAGGTCCTACGTCTACCTCGGGCAGCAACTCTCAGAGGACCACAGTGCCAACATGAACGGCGAGATCGGACGCAGACAGAAAGCAGCCTGGCTCAGCTTCAAGAACATCCAGGAAGTTCTAAAGAAGATCAGCGACCCGAAACTGCGAGCGAACCTCTTCAACACGACGGTGCTCCCGGCCCTACTCTACGGATGCGAAACCTGGACGCTGACGAAAAGGCACGAAGAGAAGCTCTCGGTCACGGAGCGGGCAATGGAACGTCGCGTACTGGGCCTTACGATGTGGGACCAGGAACGAAACGAAGCAGTACGCGAAAAGACCGGATTCATTGACGCCGTCGCAGAGGCCCGAAAAAGAAAGCTGAGATGGGCCGGCCACGTAGCGAGACGAGATGACGGACGGTGGACAAAGGCCGCTACCACGTGGAAGCCAAAGAAGAAAGCTCCAAATAAATGGGGAAAACCGACCCGCTGGGAGAAGTCGGTATGCGAGTCAATCGGCGAAGACTGGCTGAACGCAGCTCAAGACCGTGAAGAATACCGAAATCGTATTCGGCGTGCGACGACGACGTCGCCCCTGCGTCGTGCAAGCGACTGACAACAGGGATCCAAAGTATCCAAAGTAAGCCCCGATTTGACAACGATGGATTCCAACCTCAGGGAGATCCGCCCGTGGGAAGGCGAACTACACGGATTGTCCCAGCTGCTAAATGTGACCCTGTCATCTGTTTCTCAAGAGTCATGACGCTTTTTGCAGAGTCAGTCGCATCCTTCCCGACTTTTCTGGTCATCTCTAATCGTCGTCTGTTTTGCCGCCGCAGTCGGACTCTTGCTCGTGTTGTTAGACGATTATACCAGCCAGTTTGCGACTACAACGTACACCGTTGAGCATGTGAGAAAGAGTGTTTTGTTTTCGGACAACATTGCCTTCTCAGAACAAACGACTGAGATATCCCAACATTACCGTCTGTCCTGAACGTCCGGACGGTTTGAACCTGACAAAGT